ATTTGTTGGTACTCCTGAAGTATGCGTACCAAAATGGCGGACAACGGAACGTAGTATGTGTACCAGGTTAGGGTTAAGCCATATTTTATTCCAATGTTTCTTATTTTATTTATATTACGAGTTCGTGGATTAGCCACGTGACTCCCGTAGTGTTTGTACCTAAAATTATGTCCTAATCCCAACCTGGTACACATACCACGTTCCGGTGTCCGCCATCTTGGTGAGCATACTTCAGGAGTAACAATTTTTTTATATAAGGTCGCATATTTATTGCAATATTATATGCGCGTCCTTTCGCAGAAGAAAACTCTAGCACAGTGGTTCCCAAACTGTGGGTTGCGACCCCGGATGGGGTCGCTTGAAGATTTTGCGGGGTCGCATGCGCACACATGTGAGTATGTACACCTCAGGTTTTGATCAGTTACAAAAGCGTTTTGTTAATTTGCGCACGTGTCCAAAATCTACGAGTCGGCTGCGTGTTTGTCCAAAACGCCTCAGATTGCGTATTTAGTTGTTTCATACATACTTTCGAAGCGTTCCGAGTATTCAAACAAACAACCCCAACAAGTTCTAGCTCTGTTTTACGTTAGAATTAATGATGGAGCAATCTGTAATATGTTAAACTTTTACTAAAAATAATAAAGCCACTGTTGGAATGTACTAAATAAGATTTAAAGTTTTTGTATATTTAGAAGCATCTTACTATTTCCGAAGTATCGTACGCTTCCTTACAATCTATCACATTTTATCAAGTCCGTCTGTGTTTCGCCAAAGAACCGTTATAATTCTGATATAAGAGATTTTTACATCGTGGTTTTCATACGGTGTCTATGCGATGTTACAAAATCCTTCGAAGTTTTCCGGCGCATTGCCGGACTCGTTCATATATTTTTGGGCCAATGTTCACCGTCAACTTCCATTTGCAATCGATATACAGGTATATTATTCCCATTGAGGTAATTAAACTGATTATTACTTTTTGAAGTTGCTCAACGTTTCTAGTTGTGGGGTCGCGAGTATCTGTGTTTTGATTTTATGAAAATTGGGGTCGCGAAAAAAAAAGTTTAGGAACCACTGCGTCTAGCATGTTCTGCTTTTGAAATTATTCGAATCGTACACCTATTTTAGATATTTATAGTAATGGGACTCAGCTCATCTTTAAAACTTTCTACTACTTGTTTCGCGCTAGCAATTGAATATATGTCAACAACTAACGTATCAATGAAGAGAATACAGGTATGTTTACATTAGGTCATGCGTCAATATCCTGGTAAACGTCAGGTATGATCGTTTCTTTTTTTAAATCCCTTTTCTTGGTATTTATATTCCATTCCACATTACGCATCAGGGTATGGCTATTGGTATTTAATAGATCGGCTTGACTTAACTACGACATATGACTTTATAACGAAAGTGACCATTGCAATTATTTTAGGTTATATTAGTTTTTGAATTTGTTATTGTAAGGTATTAATTCCTATTGCACTGGAATATTCCATCATTTGTTTCTGAAATGACATTGAACACTTTTGTCAGAAATATTTGCTGATGGAAGAATTTTCTGATAATAATTCTGATTCTGGAAATAATTCAAGATCAAACTCCGACCAAGAAGTTTACGTTAAACTCGAAAACTTCACTGCTAAATGGGAATTGGTAAGAAGACAAATGAGGGATTTATAGTAATCGCGCGAATGATTTGTTTTATATAGCGTTTTTGCGAATCCTCTCCTATGAGGCTCTGCGGAAAGTTTTCCACTGATACGTAACCATTTTTTCGTAAAACAAAATGCATGAATTTCGCAACAAAATAAATGGTGTTTTATTTTTAATTTAAATTTGTTTATATCATAAGTATATTAGAAAAGAAAAAGTGTTTGCGTTGAATCTGAAGTTTTGACTAATTTAGTTATACTTGTTATAAGATATGAGAGTACTTATAATGGTATATTGTGAAAAATCATAAAAATATTGAAGATAATTTTTAAATGAACCGGATTGCAAGTTATATTCGGCAATGTTCCCTTTGCTAAACCCATTCGTATAAGCACAAAATGTGTAAATATTGTAATCAAGTCTTCTAATTAATTTTTTTTGCAAGGATTGCTAATGAGAGAGCGAATTGGTTGAATTGTGTAAATTTCGAGTGCAGCAAGTTGTCGCAGAATAGACGGTTGGCTAGAAGGTAACAAAACAAAATTAGACTTTCTTCTGAACCTGGTTCCACATGGCCATTGCATTGGGTGTGCCACCGACCAATTGAATCTGTGTTGATTGAAAAAATTGATTCGTTACAAAATCAGCTTCACGATTTTGTAATAAACAGATGTCTATTGCAAAAATGCTTCGCCGTTAAAACGCATGTGACTCAACCAAAATTTACGCAGGGGGCAATTTCATAATATCGTATATAAAACACGGAATCAGACTCAGGAAATGGAAAACAAAAGTTCTCGAAAAAAAATCAATCTTTTCAAAACTGTGAATAAAACAGTGTGTTATATAAAGTGGACATCATTGAGACTTTCAAAACCAACTATCTCAGGTTTTCCCATCGGTGCAAATCAAAACAAGCTCGAACCACCAAAAATAATGTAAATAATGTCAGCACATAACCCACAATGTCATTGATAAAATCCATCGGAAGTTCTTTTTGCATAAAACTTAGGGGCTACACATAATGCAAAAGTGGGCCGAACGAAAAAAGGTTGAGAACACTTTCGATGTAAAATTGAACACAAAGATATACATTTTATTAACTCATTTAAATAACGGGAAATCCAAGTCACTAACGAAGATGTTTGATACGAGTTCGAGACCACATTTGAAAAAGCTGATCAAAACTGACAGGGAAGTCACACGACTTAATTTCCTTCAATAACAGTGAATTCTGTGCATTAACAAGAGTTTTGTTTCAGTCCTCGCTCTTGAGTGCAATACTCGGTGAATTACCCGCGGCTGAAGGGAAGACTACAGTTCATGGAAATGTTGTCTACTCCAATCAAGTTCCTTGGATTTTCTCCGGTACTGTACGAGAAAATATTTTATTTGGCGCGGAATTCGACGAAGTACGTTACCACGAAGTAATTCACGCATGCTGTCTAAATAAGGTACGGTCGAATATCGCATAGTCTTACCGCATAACTCATTTGACAGTTAAAAACAAAATTCTGTCAGGTCAAGCGAAGTTAAAATTTGTAATTAACAATGATGCTTCGATATTCTTACACTAAACTAAATGAAGGAAACGACAAGGACGAATAATAAGATTTTACAGATTTTATTATTTTGATTATAATATATCATCTTGAGTTATTGTTTTCTATTTTAAAAGATGATATTCTATTCGTTTATGTTAGACTGATAATATTTCTGGTCTTTTCTAAAAAATGTTCAATTAAACACTGAGCTCAGGATCTCAATCTGCTGATTGATGGAGACATGACACTCATAGGCGAGAGGGGTGTTACTTTAAGCGGCGGTCAAAAAGCAAGAGTAAGCTTGGCACGAGCTGCGTACAAAAGGAATGCAGATATATGTTTATTGGACGATCCATTGAGTGCAGTAGATATCCCTGTGGCAAGTCATATATTCGAACACTGCATCTGTGGAATGATGAAAAAGAAAGTAGGAGTTGATTTTTAAATATATTATTATTACAACCAATCACCACATCAGTTGTTAGATTAATCAATTTAATTGGCTGATTACGGTTCTGGTGAATAATTGATTTTCCATGAAGTATTTATACTTTTACATACATTACATACCATTGCTAACATTCAAACTAATATTCTTGTTCTGTAGGCTCGAATACTCGTTACTCATCAACTGCAACTATTGAAGAAAGTGGATGAGATTCTCATTTTCAAAGAGGTTTTAGTTTTCATAGCGTTCATTTTAACACAATATCCTATTATACACTTCCGGTTAAAAAAACCTGTTCGCATCGTCTTCCAGTGGAGAAAATTATATTGTTATCAATGTGACATATAAAGCAATTCAATCATCTTTTTCTGTATCCTTGTCCTATCATATTCTTGTCTAAATTACATTCACCATTCAGGGAAGAATATATGGTCGCGGAACTTATGCCGAACTTCAGGATAGTTCAGTTGATTTTGCTGTTTTGCTTAGGAAAAAAGAAGACAAAAACGAATCAATTTGGGGGGGTATAAATTCCTATTCATTTGTATGATAAAAAATGTTCTTAATCCAATAATAATAAAATATAACAAACATTTTCACTAGCAATGATAATATTTCAATATTTTGATTTATTTAAGCGAAACGACCAACAGTTACAGGATCCTCTATTAGCTTGATAGCAAATTCACATGACTCACCACAAACATCTATAGTTCCAGATCTATCAATCGAAGACAAGGAGAAAGAGGTTCTATCATCAAATACCTTTTTATATTTAAATTGCTGGTTGTAACTTTTAGCACCGCCCTTTTTTCAAATTTGTTTGTAATTCATGGTTTTTCGATGAAGAAATTCATAAATTCTCTTTTTATATGAGTTAAGTAATGTTCTGTTAATTAAACTACCTTCTATGCAAAATGTGAAGGATCAAAATATGAAACCTCAATTTAGGGAGAATCGAGAAAGATCAATGCAGAGGAAATAGGAGAACAAGGAAGTATTGGAGGAAAAGTTTATCTCGAATATTTCAGAGTTGCGGCAAACGCAATCTTATTTGTGATATTTTTTATCATTGTTATAGCAAGTCACGTGCTATACATTATGAACGACTGTTGGTTATTAAAATGGTGAGTCTACTTATTCCTCAGGGAAACATTTAGCTCCAGACTGGTCAGTTAGAGTTGTAGGTAAATGACAATTATTTACCTAATGTATCGGTTAATGAGTTTGGCGTGACTATGTTAATTTTCACATGCTACATATTTGTTTATTTTCTAAAACTCCTAGAATCTATTTAACTGCAAAATTTTACCACTTGTTCATTTTTTTTTCTTGTGATAATATATCGACAGGACAACGTCATATCAAAAGTATCTCTCAAATGTGTCATCAAACATTACAGAATCTTGTTCTGAAACAGGACAAAATGAATCGTCTGAGGTTTTTAATTCGACGACATCGTTTACAAGTGTTAACAAAACAAGTACCTTTGATAACAGCTATTACATGAAGATTTATGCAGGTAATCTAGAACAGGGGTGTCAAACTCGTGGCCCGAGAACTTCCAATGGGCCCTCGAACGCTTAACAATAATTGAATAATTGTAATATTATTTAAGTTTTCGTTTTATCAAAATGTAATACAATTTTCAAACCTTTCAAAGTTAAATTGATTATTCACACAGAAAATTTACTGATAATAGTTTTGGAAAATTAAAATTTTTTCGTTTTTAATTTAACCCAATTATGGATACACCTCAAGCTAACAAACGAATACTTGAATAAAACACTTCAGGGATTAAATGCAACGCAAAGTACATAAAGAAAAGGGATTTTTGAAGAGAAATTGAAGTTGCAATATTTTTGCATTTCTCAAAATTCTGAAGCACATTTGATTTAGTTTAGTTTAATTTGTCACATTTCCATCAGTACAATGAAAAAAAAACAATATAAGTAGACATTATCAGAATAAGCTCAGCAGTCAATATGATAAATTTAAATATCAACTTCGAACAGAGAACTTTATGTTTGGTTCGTATATCATTACAAGAGAGCTATGCTCAAATATATGGACACGTTTGAAGTAAATGAAAGTAATAGCCTTCTAAGAAAAATTTTATCTTCAAGCGCTGAAAATTTCAGAGCAATTGAGAAAAAAGCAAATTTTTAGGATTAGGTAACAAGTGGGCGTGGCTTTCCACACGTTTTCTTACCACTGCGGGGGGTGGAGGCACTTCCCCACCCCCAATGCCACTCGAAAAAATTCCCATAACCCGGCGAACGCTTTCTCGCTCCGAGAACCTGAGATTAACGGCCTCTAAACGCCAAAATCTCTCTAGTGTGACTAGTCACTAGATCGATGACTTGATTGACAGGTAGCCTACTCCGACCACTAAAAGCCTGTTTTGTCCAACTTCCAATTTCAACGTGAATTGAAATACCAAGTGATCCAAGTCACTTATCCATTACGGTACCAGGGCAAAATAAAAAAAATATATCGATTTCCCGATAATCATTTGCGGTATAGTAATTTACCAGTACCTGAAATTCGTTTGCAGAACGGTTCTTCCTTTTCATATAAGAACTCAATTCATTTCCTCTTATCAAATAAAAAAAAATAAGGTTGGCTAAAAATTTATGTTGTTAACATCAGACTTGTAACGAAAAGATGAGAGCGTAATTCACTGCGGTACCGTACGCCGTACGGTACCGTACCTTACCAGTACTGCAGTACCTGTTGCTGTATGAAGGCCTGCTATTCGATCGTGGAACGGTTCTTCTCTGGCATATAAAGACTCAATTCAATTTGCTCTTATCAAAATTAACAAATACGGTAGGCTAAATTTGCAAGAAAACCTACATTACTGCAATAGTAAGATCGAGAAAGGAATAAGTCAATTTTACTGTGATACGTTAACTTACCGCAGTACCGTATCTGCCAGACGCTTCTTCTTTGCAAAACCAACTAATTCGATTTATCACGTTTCCATAACAGCAGATACCACAGTCTACAAATATATTCACACCAAGCGAAGCAGTGCAGTACGGTTTACCGTACCTTTAGCATCACCGGTAACCTAAAAAATCTTATAATTTTTGAGCAACGATTTTCAGAATCCGCCTTCACGCCGACGTTCGATGGCACGTGATCAGGCGTCCGCAGAACGTTCGGTAACGTTATAGCAAACAAAAACAAATCTCACAGAGCTAACAGTAATACTTGAAATAAATAAAAGTAATAGCCTTCTGGAGAAAAATTAAACTTTAACCACTGAAAATTTCAAAGCAAATGGTCCAGAATTCGAAGAAAAAAGTGATTTTATAATGATGGTGACGAAGAATAATAACAATAATAAGAGTGCCAGCATGAAATGCAAAACGATCGTTATGTCCACTACGTGTTCAATAAATATACAACTACCTAGTTACTAAAAATTATTATCAATCATAACTCAAGCGCACCTATGCCACGTAATGGTAGCGACTGTCGCGAAATGTCTGGTCCGAAAAGTCAGTCATTTGTTTGCCTACTGATCTATACATGAAATGATAAACGTAATATTTTTGCATTACTGATATTAACAGAACATTCTCAACGATCCAGATGATCATGTGACCTCGTTAATTAGAGTTGGTACTGTAAAATCATTTCAGCCTGATATTAGAAAGCAGGTGGCACAAAAGAGATGCCGAACGTCAGGACATATATATATATATATATGTATGAAAAAAAACATTGAGTTTATTCTGTAGTATTTTGTAAATTTTAGGTCTATATATTTAGATTACGGTTAATCATTTTAGTATGTACTATTTTTTCCTTTGAAAAACTTTGTGCAAAAATGTTTATGATGGTTGTACATGAAAATTTATGATTTTTTGTAAAAAATACTGCAAATTGCAATTATAGTGAAATGCAAAAATTATAATGTGAATTCATTGAAAATTTAAGAAGATAACAAAACTTCATTCGGCTGTTCAATTGCATCACAAATCAAAATATATGTCACAAGTATACATTATGAAAATATATCAAAATCTGTTTGCAAACAAACAATTCCCAAAATGCAATGCGGCCCTCGAAAACCCACGAGTTTGACACCCCTGATCTAGAACAGCATTGTCGTGGACATTTGCTTATCTTGATTGAGTAGGGAGATAGACCGGAAACTGGTTAATTAAAGGAAAATTCCAATATTTGTAAATAAATAATCAAACTAATGCAGGAGACATAGTTAACATACTCTATTTTTTAGTTCTTTCCGTGATGGTGTTTTTGACTGTGTTGCTTCGTGCAAATTTACATTATTATATATGCGTTACCTCCGGTATTCACATGCATAAGAAGATGTTTAAAGCAATCCTACGAGCCCCGATCAGATTTTTTGATACCAATCCATCAGGTGAGCCGGCATTTTCCTATTTATTGCTTTTATTGAACACGAAATGTACATATGGATTGTTTTAGTATATTGTGTTATGTTTTCTATTATGAATTCTTTTACATGTTCTTGCTCTCGACTTGAAGTTTTTCAGTCATTTAAAATTGTATTTTTTGCTAGGAAGCTATTATCTCTTTTATTTAAAAAAAAATCGGGCTAAGGGATTCGTTTTTTTGTGTGCATTGACGTCATCGAAATTAAAAATTGCTCACGTTGTGGCGGTTCCGCGTTCGCGTGGGCTATCTGGTGGTCAGGCGGTACCTGTAGCTTACTGTTGAAGATTGCATACCCGTACTACTTCGTTCTGGCTTTCGTGTCCATATATTTGGAAATCACTCTCTTGTATTGAAGAGAATTGATTCTGCAAATTGTTAGTCAAATGTAATATGCGCGGTATTTCACATAAATCTACAATTTATTAAAACTTATTCTGTTGATAATTTAGGAAGAATCCTAAACAGATTTTCCAAAGACATGGGGCAGATAGACGAGCTTCTGCCTATCACATTCGTTGATTTTCTGTGGGTGAGGGGAACATTATTGAATTTCAAATCGGGTTTCCGTTCTTGATTATTTTCTGATTTATTTTCATCCATAGCATTGACTGTTTGTGAGCCATCTCATCTTCAATTGGAACTTATTTAATAGCGTTTGCATTAACTATTTTTCATTCGTACTTGACTAAACTGATTAAATGTGTGCACAGAAAAATTATTGATAAATAAATTTTAAAATTTCTCTTTGAAAATGTCGGGAATGCCATACTGACATTATAAGCAGTTTTTAAGAAGATACTGTTTCTTCTGTTATAACAGGATATCATCAATGGTAAACCTTTCTACAAGGACAAATCGTCGTTTCATGATATGTAAGCTCATGATTTTCACAATTGTAAATTTCTGTTACTCTGACCTGTCTTTTATCAATTTACAGATTTTTGGCGCGATCGTCAGCGTTGTAATCCTCACATCTGTCGTCAACTATTTTGTGATCCTTTTGATTATTCCATTTACCATTTACTTTCTCTGGCTCAGAAGCTATTACTTGCGTACTTCAAGAGATATAAAAAGACTAGAAGGATCTTGTAAGGAAGCATTGAATAGTTCAAACAATTAACAAATTTTAAAAATTACAAATTCATATTGTAACAGATAGGATTTGGACGGGTATTTAAAAAAAATAATACAGACCTGCAAGCGGGCAACTAGTTGTTGAATTAACCTAGTTTTCCTTATGATTATGCATTCATGTAATTTTTTCAAACGATGACATCAAAATCTACAAATAGAATCATTCAATATTTTGTCTAAAATAGTTCAATCAGCAGTAGCATTCTTGTTTGTTTGTTATATAAAATTTTATCCAGGTAGGAGTCCAGTCTTCAGCTTGCTATCATCAACTTTACAAGGTTTACTCACTGTTCGTGCTTTCGGTGTTCAACAACAATTTGAAGATAAATTTCACGAATATCAAGATTTACACAGTGGTATTTTTTATATTATAATCGTATTAATTATTACCGACATGTTATTTGATTATTTTTAAAGATGTGAAAAGAGTTATGTTACCATAAATTAAAATTTTGAAGCTGTACATGTTCAATTTTAACAGTGTTTATACAGTGTATAATATTGCATAAGTGAGAAAAAATTATAAGAATATTAATTTTTATTGACTTTAGTTCATTCGATAACTAATTATGCTCTAATTAGCTCTAACACATAGACAATACATTTAGGTGATTGAATTGATATAAATACATGTTGATAAATGGACCAAAACATGTATTGAAAATCAGTTTTTATTCATGTAATACAAAATGTTACAAAAGGATCTTGCTGAATATATTTTTTGATAAAATTTTACAATAAGTTCGGTATCATCTTCCAGAGTTTGCGAACAAAAGCTTCGAGCTGATTATCTCATTTTACTGTTAGTGCTTATATTAGTTAAAGAGGCTTGTCGTTGTCGTTGAAATATCAGCTAAATTTATCTTTTCTCCTTCCAGCGTCATGGTTTCTGTTTCTTGTTGGAACAAGATGGTTTGGATTACGACTCGATTTGATAACTGCTACGTTCATATCAGCTGTTGCATTTTTCTCCGTAATTGGCGCTTCATTACTGAATCTCAATCCGGGTGAAATTGGATTAGTTTTAACTTACACAGCATCCCTCATAGGTATGTTCCAATGGGGAGTTCGTCAAAGTGCAGAAGTTGAAAATTTAGTAAGTAGAAAAACTTATTCAGAAAGTTAATGAAGAGTACCCTTCCTTTACACTTTTCACATTCTTTCAAGCTTTCGATAATGTCGTAAGCACTTTTTTGGTTTGAAAATTTCATGTATACCTAATTAGCTGCCACAATATATTTATATACTACTGTGAATACATTATAAAGGGCTCAATGCTTCTTTGCAGCATCTTTCGAGTTATATCTATTGAATGCATTCTATATCTGTATAATACACTTGGAAGCATATTGTTAGAAAAAGAGATAAACATAGATAAAAAAAAACGTTGACAATTATCTAATTAGGATGAATTTATTATAAACTTCTATTCAACCAATATAATAAAATTCAATTTAAACTATTATCCATTGCATACAAATTTGACTTATCGTTTGCCTGAATTACTGTTATTTTTTCAAATTTCTTACGAGTCGTATGGTACGCGTGTCCGCTGATCATTTCAAAGAACTCGGGGCTCAGTTAGGCTTTACCAGTACCGGATGCAACCTCTTCGTGTTCATATATTTGAGCATTGCTCTCTTGCTACAATATATACAACGCCATACTCACCATGACAAATTGATATATGTCGTTAGGGTAACCCATTTATTCTATTTTGCATTCCCTCGTTTGCTCTCAAAATAAATCTTTATTCTACTTGAATGTCTTGCAGATGATATCAGTAGAAAGAGTTCAACAATATTATCGAATACCACCAGAAGCCGCGTTGGAGAATCCTAATAAACAACCACCAAACAGCTGGCCTAGATGTGGCGCTATCAAGTTTAAAAACGTCTCCTTTTCCTATTATGATGGTGGACCAAAGGTGCTAAGAAGTATTGATTTCGTAATACAACCACAAGAAAAGGTAAGTTACCTTTGAAAAGAAGTTACCTATTTACCGAAGTTTGCGGAATATTTCAAAATATTGATAGGATTCACGCAATGTTTATTCACCAATTTTATCCGTTTTTTTTTTTTTTTTTATTATATTCTAAAGCTAATAAACTGTCCATAGAATATGGTAACACAGTATATATTAATTCAACTTTTATCCGTCTTTAATGAAACTTTGCTCAAAATATAACGTTATAACAAGCTATTCCTGTGATGTAAATATTTAATACTTTTATTCATTCAAAAGACTCATTTCAGCATAATTATGGTAATGTTAGGTCACATCAGTGTATATATTTTGATGAAAGATATGCGTTTGATGTATATTTAGAAAATACTTTTTGGCACAGAAAACGAAGAAAAGATAGAAATAAAACTCTCGACAGATAATCCAACTTGAATTAGTTGAACTGAGTTTAAAAACGTTTGTCGTAACTTAAAGAAGAAATGAATTTTAAGGAACTGAATTACCTAGTTTCTCTTCGTGACACTTTAAATGATTTGTGGGGATTGAATTTAAAAAAATCGTAAATAATATAAAGATGAAAACATTTCACCTTAGATTGGAATTGTCGGACGAACTGGTGCAGGTAAAAGTTCTCTTATATCAGCACTTTTCAGACTGTCGGAACTAACAAGTGGTGAAATATTCATTGATGGAATTCCCATATCATCCTTAGGACTTCATGATCTACGCAAAGCATTATCTATAATTCCACAGGTCTGAAGTATTATTTATATTATACAATATTATTGGCTTTCAATTCAAATTGATTCGAAAGTCAGCCACGGTTCCACCACTTTTCTGTAATTGGTCTTACAAACCGCGTGCTTTTGCAATGAACGTTAACTGTTGCTATATAAGAAGGCATACCCAAATGGAGTTGTTTACTCAGACTCAATTTCCTGGAATCGGAAACTTGCCTTAAAATACACAAAACCATGCACGAATGCAAAATGCTATAGAAAATACAAGAAAATAATCATGACAGTTTGGCAAGAAATATTGACTGATGATAAATTTTAAGCAATTAGAGTCTTCTGACATTTACTGAGTAATTCTTTCATTTTATAGGATCCGATTCTTTTTACTGGAACAATGAGAAGAAACATTGATCCTTTCAACAATTATTCGGATGAAGATTTATGGAACGCATTGGAGCAGGTTTCATTAGTCACATAAGTCACAATAGCCAAAGGCATTTTTTTTTAACTTGACGTTAATACAGAACCTTTTAACATTAGGCTACTGCATGCGTACAAGTGCTTTTTAAGACGAAATTTTCGAAAACAAAGTAGCATTACGCTATGTGCCCGGTTAGATAAACACAGTTGGTTATACCCGAGCTATCATTGTAGAACTACCGACATGAGTCTTTGGATGTGATTGGTCAGTGGCAGAAAGACTGCCGTCCATGAAAAATGTTTCGGAAAATATGAAGATGACGTTTTGACTATATTGTACAAAGAACTACTATACTAGACAGTGAACGTTAATATATGTACGCAAATAAAGATAGCCATCATTTGGATAATTCTAGTTCGCCTAAAAACGCCACTATTCTAAAATAAACAACCACGAAGTACATAGAATATGATTGCCTAATCATCGAAACCTAAGATATCATATTTTTCATCGTTTTGTAAGGTTCAGTTGAAAGAGTTTGTTGAATCTTTTCCTATGAGACTGAACACAGAAATCGTTGAATCAGGATCTAATCTCAGTGTTGGACAAAGACAACTTGTTTGTCTTGCTCGAGCAGTTTTGAGAAAAAGTAAAATTCTAGTGATTGATGAAGCAACTGCAAATGTTGATATCAGGTATAAAAAGTGAAAAATTCATAGGAATTGATTTATGCATTGAGAATCTGATTTTTTGCGATGCCATTAAAATAGATGGGAAACTCAAAAAGATAAATACCAGCAATTTATAATTACATATAGTATATATTTACACCACTGTGCCGCGATTATCGTAGGATATCGTAATGAAATTATTCCAAAAAATGTGTTAAATATTTTTATTGCGCTTACTTTGGGTAAAATATGTTGATTCTTTATAGAAAGTTGTCATCGATACACCCAATATATATAAAAATATGAAAGTATATAAGGATATTTGAAAATTCAATTGACATCCTGAAGACAACAAAAATATTGTGAAATCTTTAAAAATTTAAGTTTTCACTTGCTGAAGAATGTGGTCCAGCATCGTCTTTGTAATAGTTCCAATCAGCTTATTATTACATATCACAACGAACCCAGCCCTTTGTTTTTTCGCAATTATCCGTCTACAAAGTTAGTACATTGACTCCAAAAGAAATGATCCACCCATATACAGGGTGTCTCAAAGTAAGTATACATTTTTAATTTCGGTTTTCAGGTACTCATCATAGAGCATTCATTTCTTCGGGAAACATAGTATGGATAGGTAGTCATATTGTTTGCATTTTTCAACAACTCACAGAATGACAATAAGATTAACCCAAGAAATGAGGTGCAAAATTGCTGTTTGGCAAGAAGCATCTGAATCGGTAAGAATTCAGATCTTCTATAACTAAGTATTTGCAATTAATTTGGCTGTTACACAACGAACAATTTATCATAAATTTATGGAAACTGGATCTGTAGTTGACGCACAAAGATCAGGAAACTAGGAACGGTTAGGAAACGGTCTTAGGAAAACATTCACAGTCGAATTAATTCCAAATTCTCTTTTAAAGAGACGCTGAGTTTGCCGTACTGATTTATATGCTTCTTGCTAAACAGCAATTTTCGCACCTCATTTCTCGGATTAATCTCCTTGTGTCGCGGACTAAAGTGTCCGTTTTTATATTTTGTGTATATATAGATTTTTTATTTTTATAAACAGTTATGTTGACACTTTTTTAATCCTGTTTTGTCGGATTTGGACTCCGACCACTCACTACACATGAGAGAAAAACTGTGTCTTTCGCTCTCTTTTTCTCCGGCCGTCGGGCTGGAGGTCGGTTGCGTTTTGTTGTGTCCTCCGTCCATGTCGTATTAAGTGTAATTGTGAAGTTGACGTACAATAAACAACCAATCCGGAACCCTTGAGTCTTCTGATTCATCTACAACCACAGTAGCAACATCTTCTGAAACTGTGACAATGGCGAGCACGCCAGTATATGAACATCATTCAGACTGTGACACCTGTCATTCTGTGGATTGTTGAAAAATACCTAAAACAATATACTCAAATTCTGTTACTTATTCTTACTGTGTTTTCTGAAGAAATGAAAGCTCTATGATGGGTACCTGAAAAACAAATCAAAATTAAAAATGTATACTTACTTTTGAGACACCCTGTATTTACCGTTCACGCAAGTCCGTGTTAAAGTACTTTTTCTATTTAAGTTGTGAACTCACCTAGATAGTGAATATAATTGGCTTCACGGGAAAAATTGAACGATAAGCGTAGTTGGGAATAGCTTCAACTTAAAATATTCTAATTTTAAAGAGGCATTCATTCTACGTATTGATCGATTCGTATTTAATTAACCAATGCTTATTGTCTGATCACAGTGTATCAGCATTAAAAATTAAAATTTATTCATAAGTAAAGTAGGTATTCCTGAGGTAACCTTATGATTCTGTTTATAATAAATAATCCTTTACATTCAATGTTACATAATTGATTGGATGTACACTGGTAAAGGGAGCACTATCTATGATGGAAGTTAACAGTAAAAATTATTTGTAATTAATTCGAATTAATAATGACTAAATAAATTCGGTTGATTAATTTACCCATTAAACATTCTCAGCACCACTCATAACGCATTACCATGTTTTTCCTCGTCTTTTCGCACAACAGTCGCAAATCATTAGTTGAAAACAGCAAACGTGACTCATTAATTAATCCCAATTCTCATTCTGAATTTTTTGTTTTACTTTTAGGACAGATCGTCTGATTCAAGAGACGATAAGACGAAAATTCAAGCAATGCACTGTTATAACTATTGCTCACCGAATAAATACAATTATAGATTCAGACAAGATATTGGTAATTTTTTTAATTATCCAGCGACAAATCGGACGCCGATTTTACTAGATTACAATTCATTCACGAGTACTAAAAATTTGTGCTAAAATAATGGTACTCCTGAAGTATGCGCACCAAGATGTTGCATAACCTGAACCCTAACCTGGTACACAACCTGAGTTCAGGTTGTGCGCCATCTTGGTGCGCATAATTCAGGAGGTCCAAAATAATGTTGTTAAAATGGACTCATTTGTGAATACAATTCAATTTTCTATCTATAGGTGCTAGAGGAAGGACAAGTCAAGGAGTTCGACAAACCAAGTGTTCTTTTGCAGAAATGGGATGGCCTGTTTGCTGGCATAGTAAAAAGCGCTGGTCTATCTACAGCAGAACCACATTGCGAATAGAAAGGCTTCAAAAGTCACAGGAATCGATGTTTTTGTTTATGCTTTCAATTCATTTTTATTCCCGGCACATATAAATACTTGCTATGAATAATATATATTCCGACGTGTATCAGCATACTATTACATTTTTGCAATAAACCGTATTCAAACTCTTGGGCACAATCTTGCACAAACAAGTTCCAGCGCAAACAAAATTGAATACCTTTTTTTTTCCTCAAAAAGGGTTAAAAAAATTTATGGGTTCTGTTTTGTTTTGGATTATGGTTTCAATTTTTTTTTGTAAATAAGTCCGCGATTTTACAGATCCTATTAGCCATTAACCCTTGGCAAAGATTTCGATGGTATTTGTATGACAAAGTAGCGTGTCGTAACCCTATTCGTATCGAGGAGATTGACCAAAAATTTATGAATGAGAATCTGAATAGTGGGGTGTGATTCAGCTACCAAACAGATTAGTGGAGTTTTGGGGGGTTGAAGAGAGGCTTTAATGTACGGACTTCGTCATCCCGTACCCTTATTAGTGCAGTTTTTTTTCTCAACCTTTTTGATGTAGCGGAGTGGTTCTCAATCTGTGGTAGTCGCACCTCATGTTCATAATGGGGTTCCCGGTGTGGCCCGTTGGTGTAATACGTCCATCAACGTTAACAAAATTCAGACGGGCACTGGAAGCGACTAATTGTAGGCCATTTATGGAAGAAGCTAAAATAAATTTGAAATTGTAAAATCTGACTTACCGCACAAAGCTTAATTTAAACATTCAACGAAATCGCGATATACAAGTCAAAAATATGTTTGTACAGACAGTGTCATATGCATATCCGACCAATTCGATACACATATACAGCCATTTAGGTGCTGTACATATGCAGCCAATGTAATATTCATATACTGTTAACTGACTATACATATATAATCATTTTGATGATGTACATACACAGCCAATGTCATATACATTTCCAAACAATCCAGTATAATATGAAGGCGTTCAAGTAATGTATATATGCATACAAAGTAAACTCAATGTATATGATTTGGATGAATGTATTAGATTAGATTGTTAACGTCATATATAAATACAGTCAACTCAAAACATATAAATTCAATGCTATGTACAGCCAACTTGATATTCATCTACAATTATTTGAGTGATGTACATACATAGTCAATGGCATATACAAACAATTCAGTATAATATTAAGGCGTTCAAGTAATGTATATATGCATACAAGGTAAACTCAATGTATATATACAGTCAATGCCATATGCATGGCATATGCATATACAGTCAATATATTTTGTATATACAGTGATATAATAAGATATGCATATAAGGCATGAATGTGGCATTGAATGTATATGAATATGACATTGGCTGCGTACGCATATGGCACTGGCTGTATGTACATATGACATTTGCTGTATATGCATATGGAATTGGTTGTGTATGTATATGATTCGGTTTTATATCCTTATGACTTTGACTGTATATGTATGTCTAATGGGCATATGCACATGATTCGGCTTTATTTCCTATGACATTGACTATATATGCATGTTTGGCTGGCTCTTTATATATATACCTTGGCTCTATCTGCATATTTGATAGGCTCTATATGTATATGATTTGGATGAATGTATTAGATAAGATTGTTAACGTCATATATAAATACAACCAACTTATATTTATCTAAAAAATATTTGAGTGATTTACATACATAGTCAATGCAATAATTTAGAAATTTCAAAATGTCAGTGAAATGCTACATCGTATTTCAAAAATGCAAATTTATACTTTAGCATTTGCTACTTACTGTACTGAGCTACTATTTGACTATCTTACTTCATTACAAGTTGAAAAGCTGGAGTAGATGAAAATTTCTATTTACGCAGTGTGTTGGATTATTCGCTGATGTTCAGCTCAGCGGTACATACGGGTGTATACAAAAGACACTGACCACTGCAGATATTCTTTTGGTACATAATAAACTGGGTAAAATTGGTCTAATGGGATGTGATAATAATACAGCTTCAATTTGCCAAATGCAATAATATACGGTGATCTTTTCTAAATTGGATTGTACGTAAATACATCGATATACATGTTTCAGTGCATTGCATCGTTAATTTATTCAGCCAGCCTAAAGTTACCATTCAACAATAATTTTTATCTGCATCACAAAACGAGGCACATTATGAATACATAAGCCATTCAGTTAATTGATTGATCACAGATAACGCAACTTTGCACATTTCCGTAACGTTTTGTTATTTCCTGATACTGTCATGATATCGATGGAAAGTCAACAAATACCCAAGTATTGCAAATTATGAGGCATTGGAAGCAGTTTCGTAATTATTTTGTAGCTGAGTTATAAGTTCGTGCATAGTCATGGATACGTGGGTCTGAGTTTTTTAAAGGAATGTATTTGTCTTGATTTGGAAAGGACTGAGCAACTGATTAGTTCTACTGCGGTAAAAAAAATCGAACACTTTTCAACAAGAAATAAACATTTATATGATTTTCTGCAAATTTTCATATGCGCGAAATGCCCTCGAAAAGTTCAAGAATGGATCGCCATTATAAGAAGCTTTTTAACAACTTAAAAATAGCGATGCAGTCGCGCCTGAGCATAGTAATTGAGATTTATATGTGTTGTACCTGTAGTTCTCACTAACGACTTACAAAATAACATGCGTCAACTTAACACCACCTGAATCGGGGTACAAATTTCGGTACAGTGACTGTCATAAACGTTTAGGGCTGATGGATAATTCGACTACACAGACTACTCACCAGGCAATGATCTATTCTTCTCCATTCAATTGCAACATGAACTGAAATACTAAGTAATCTGTTTCATTCCCTTCTTCATTATTGGAACAAAATTTAAAATACAAGCCCCGCTTTTACCAGACAGATACGAGTTAGTTCAGTGTCACTGCGCTGTGTTACGGTACCGGAACTGCCCTATCTTCAGCAGTTCCTGTCTTGTGACAGCGTGAATTGAAATTGCAAGATGGTCCGACTCACAACTGTAGTAATACCAACTATCCGAGTCACTACTGCAATATAACACCACGTACGGCCCTATTCGCTATTCACCATTCCTCAAATCTTAGCGAAGCATAGATTCCGTTACAAACCAACGACGTTCGATGGCACGTGATCAAAAAAACATGAAGAGGAGTGCCAGCATAGGCGTCCGCGGAACGTTCGGTGTCATAGCAAACAAAAACAAATTTCACAGAGCTAACAGAAATATTTGAAATAAATAAAAGTAATAGCCTTCTGGAGAAAAAAATCATCTTTAACCACTAAAAAATTTAAAGCAATTGGTCCAGTAATCAAAGAGAAAAGCGACTTTTTATATTTTCCACTAGGTGTCCAAAAAGTGTCAAAGAACAACAACATAATATTGAAACGATCCATAGGTCCACTAAAGTGTCCAAAAATATATTTTTCAGAGATTGATAGCTGGTATCGTACAGAAGTAGATCACGTGTCAAATTACGAGAATTACGTAATGTGGCTCCAATGTGGAAAAGACGGTAAGTTTACAAGTATTTGAGGATATTCAAGATGACTAGGCTTGAGTTGAGTCCTTTCAGTAAAGCCAAATGATTCGAGGCACAATATAGTAAAATGTTAAATGTCTTATGCAAGTATGCCTTGCTGGTGAAAAATAGATTGGATGTCTTAATTGATATTAACTCGTCTAAAGTAACAACTAAGAGGGTGAATCGATTAAGATTAATTTGTGAATTATTTTTTGACTTGAAACTCAGAATCCTTACTGATATTTTTGCAGCAATAGTGAAAATGGAACTTTTGTAACTTAAAAGTATACGATTTATTCAAAAGTAATTTCAATGAAAATTCTTTTTTACAAGATGCAAATTCGTACCTATACCCACAACAGATATTAATTTAATATTCACTACTCTACTAAAATACTATTTGACAAATTACTAATTTGGAAGAAAAAAGGTTGGCGTAAATGGAAATTTCTATTTGCCTAGTGTATGCAATTATTCTTTAATGTTTCAGGTCAGCGATATATATGGGTTTATACAAAAACTCCACAGCCCACGGCAGAAGATATTTTGTTGGTACATAATAAACTGGTTGAAATAGGAGGAGGATGGGACAAAGTTCCACTAAAATTTGCAGGATGCGTTCAATCTAATATACAAGATTAGATTGTGTGTGAATACATATATGTAAATATTTAGTAGGTTTTTTTAAAAGTTTCTAGATATTACACCACAGAATAAAAGTAGCAAATTAAGTGGTTTGATCAATTTTTATAGGATTTTTTTAACAGAAGGGGAAAAAAATTGAAGATAGAATCACATTGATTCTTATCTTTGTATATGTATCTTATATGTCCGATCTAGTGCATATATCTGGGGTTATTCAGTTCTTGAATACCAACAATGAATTTGCTAAATTTGCGAACAGACCAAAGTGCGGGAACAGTGCACGATCACTCTATTTGTTGCATTGTACTATTTTTTAAGGAAATTTGCTCAAACCCCGGCGTACTGACACAGAAATTAGGGTGATTGTTTTCAGAGGGAATGTACGAATGAGCACTAAAATGCTAAGAGATACTGAGACCTGAGATTCCCTGATATAAGGAATTATAGTGAAGAATTTTTTGTGTTCACGAAAACAGCTATTAGGTTGTGAATTTCACATATATATGTAACAAAAGGTTCTTAAAAAAACTCTAGGCATAAAATCGGCACACTGACTGTAAATGATTGGGAGTTCACAACCAAATATGACGTCATAAAACATTTTGGGGGAACAAGTTTCGAAAGTTCAGAAAACACTGTAATAGTTGTAAAATGCACACACCGACGCAACATTTTGTTAATGGGAAAGAGTTTGCACTTCGCAATTTGGACGCCAATTGGAAGCATATTTGATATTCTATTTGAATTTGGCGTGGACGTATTAGTGATTAGAACAAGTGAAGTATGCATTTACCGAACAAATATCGGCGTGCACAGTTAAGAAATACGACTTTCCATGACGCGTTCCGAGCCACTAAAAACCCAACTCAATTCCTATGAGATGGTGACAAAATTCTCTTGACAAAAGCTCCTGCACTTACTGGTAGGCATAGCATGGGCCTTATCTCACGGTGCTGTTCTATAATACATGAGCTGGAAGATGAACACTGACCGAAGTAAATTGATTTGTTTCCAGTAATCTATCTTTACCGCCATCTATGGATAGCTATTCTCATATTCCGATTGCGCCGTAAAGTAAACATATTTTATGCCATATATATAACACTTCATTGCATTGTTATAATAATAGCCAAAATATGCCCAGAGGTAACAAGCTTAGCCTTATCTTGAAAAATAGTTGAATAAAAATTTTTGAAAGACCTTGCGGCCTAATTTGGAGTAATGAGGGGTAATTTAAATGTGGTATTCTATACAAGCCTTCGACATTCGAGATACAGAGCCCAGAACTCATTAGTTAACATTGAAAAAATCAAAACTTAGGAGGAGACATCAGCAATAATGACATAATAATAATTCATTATGATGTCATAATATATTTTCAAGGTTTGTTAGAAATATACTATAATGTCATAAATGAATTACGTGATACGAAAGCTAACCATCCAAGGCGATTGGAGTGCAAGTATGCTAAATTGATTTAAAAACATAATAGTTCGAAACTGCACGACGAGGCTCATAGGCTCCAGCCTACCTTCCCTAATGATAAATCCGGTACTGACTATTACACATTGCGAATAAAAAAAACAACGTATCGAAAACTGTAGCAAATATATATAGGATCGATATCTGTCACGTAGTTCAAATTAGAAAAGTTAGTCTGGTTTGAGTCAAGCAGAAAAAAGTTCCTGGATATGGCGAACTTAATGAGCTGCTTTCTAAAAAATGATTTGGAATAAAAACAGCAATCAGTATTGATAAACTTGAAATTGAAATATATATTTAATATCTTAAAGCGATCTAGACATGAAGGTTTCAAATTAGTAGCTCATGAATACATTGCACGATAATAATTAACGAGCTACAAAGTGGGATATAAAAAGTCTTATTCACGACATGATCATCATGACACAGATCATGACGTGCATTGAAGCATTGCACGCAGACATCATTAGAGAATTGATTAATGTTGCGTCATACCTAGATTTTTTAACTACTCTCGATTTAATCAACAGAATCAAGATGCTCTGTCATTTCACTAATTTCGATATATTTAATCAGGAAGTTGTCCGACGTCGTATACTGTCAAAACGTTTCAGATACGAGTGACGTTTTGCCGATATAAGAGCCAACTGATTCGCTTGTAAAATACTTTTTATGTCTGTAATTGCGTTCACGTTTGACCAAAGTCACCGTGACTGTACTAGGGAAAAAGACTGAGGGAGACCGCAACCGTATATATTCCTTCAAATTCTTGCACGTTTGCATATGCCTACTGTAATATTCGAGGAATTGATTGTAAAACGTGTTCTGGCGTATCTGTACTATATTTTCATGCTATGAGTCCCTGATATACGATTTTCCGATCATAGTGAACGTAAAGACTAATCATTTTCTAGTCACAACTTGGTCACGGTAATAATACTAACTTCTTAGGAAAACATCGAAACAATCTAGTTTCATAATGAAGTGAGCGACTAAGAGAGTTTTTGAATACACAATCGAAATAAAATTTTAGATAATTTAAAACAGGCAGAAAAAGTTGGACGCTTCATCGAGATTATGTAGTTTAGCTTTAGGTTAAGCGTTTCGTCGACAAGTCTTTCAAATAAATTTGAATTCAAAAACAACAATATTTTAATTCAGTAAATGTAATAGAAAACCAAGCATTGCAACTAAGTTATAACCAAGTACGGTGATTATATAGAAGAGAAAACTACAAATCACGTGTAGAAAATGAAAATCAAACGCTTGAAATAAGCAAGCTTATGGATCTGCCTTACACTACAGAATATGCTACAGAGTTTCTAGTAGGGCAATGCGGTATTAAAACCTAATAAAACTAGAAATTTTATATTTAGAACAATTAAACTAAATATAATCATAACTAAGGAATTTGCATTTTTCTACATTTTAAAATGGCTACAAGCTGTGGATACGAATTTCAATTAAAGCATCTGCGATTCGAAAGCGCGAACGAAAACAATTTTTACGAATTTCAAGTAAGTTATTTCAAGTATATATATTGCTGCTATGGTCTATGCCTCTGGGCTGAACTTTTACTACTGAACATGGCATAATTTATTGCTAATGACGTTTGGTATTGGAGACAGTACATTTTGTTATTTAAGAATTACATTTATAAGTTTTTAAAGTAAATTTATGCATGGATATATTAAACATGAATTATTTTCGTCTTTTAAGTGGTCAAAGAAAAAATCATATTTTGTTTTGTATCGTGCTTTCACCCTGCTCTATCACTGGGGCTGGTTAATAGCAAGCTGGGTGTTTGCCGAAGAAGACATTGCTTACACTGCAAGTAATTGGAGTTTTTTCTTTACCGGCATTTATTACTTATGCGCGTTTATCACTGCATTATATGGACTAATTGCGCGAAACGACCATGAAGTCGAAAATCGAGAAGCACCAAATACCGGCAGGTCACATAAAACAGAAAATCCAGGTACAGATACAATATATTTTTGTAGTATAGCTGACTTAGTAATATATCACTATTCAATCTTACATGAATTTTTTTTGTAGTATATGCGTGTTCCATCAGAAAGTACTATTTTTCAAAACATTACTAATTTGAAGTAAATTTAAAGTTTGATTGTTTTATAATCAGTCAGGCGATGGGCACGTCCTAAAGTTCTCTCTTTGTCTCTATCTTTCGTTATTGAAAAGTCCCGTAAATTAAAGTATTCAGTCAATCACAGCTTGCAAAGTTGTATATCGAGCCTTAGTATGATCGTCTATTAAAACCTTTTTTCAGGTGGACTGAGATTCTTTCACAAAGTTACTTGGTTCTTTCAAGTACAAGCAATTGATTTTGTTATTTTCGTCACAGTTCTGTACTGGGCACTTCTGGCACCTGATGTCCCAGCAGAAACACTGAGAATGCCTATCGGCCAACATAAACATAGTGTGCAAGGGATAATGCTTCTGATAGATATTTTTGTAGTCTCTATTCCCACACGTTGGATACAGTTTGTTTACAGTGCCTTGTTCGCATTGTTCTACGCAATCAACACAGTTATCGTACACTTTGCCGGAATAAACTCCCAAATATACGGATTTCTCGATTTTGTCAACTCCCCCGGCATAGTGGCAGGAGTTCTTCTTATGAATGTATTTGTGGTGCCTATCATATTGCACACAATCACATTTGCATTTTATCATCTGAAGATGTTGATTTATCGCTGCACACTTGGAAAGAAGCAGAGAATGTCCGATCAACCAGCTACATTCAATACGGGGCATGACAATGTTGCCTTTTCATCGTGATGCGTTCCCATATTCATGATGAATATTGCAACATTTTTCAAAGGGCCAATTTTCGATTCATCGTTCGATTAGGAACAACATCCGGATATCATGTTCGAAATCTATACAAGAATGGCGGCCACCCGCTACATGAAAAAATTTCACAAACAAAAACATATGTCTGAAGTAAATAAAACTTAATATCAATGAAAATAAAATCATGTTCTGATTCAAGGACGATAAACTACGCAGATCACATTCAACTATTACCATATTTGTCAGACATGAATTACGTGACAATAAAGTCAAGCGTTTTACGTTTGTCAAAACGACGAATAAAGTAAATATTTATGTTAAAACTTTTGCGGTTCGTGTCTCTCATCATTAGTAGAGGTTATTTCATTTCTGAGTTGTACGCATTACCATACCTCTTCCGTCAGTAACTTAATCTGTGACATCATATTTTCTTATTAAAGATAAACTTTATTTTGAATTTCAAAGCCGTACAAATTAGTGAATTTTGTTTGATGATGCTAATATTGATAATGATGATTTTGTCATATTAAAATTACCTCATATTTGTACGCACTGCATTTTAGGATTTATTTAACAACCAATATTATTTTGTTAAATTTGAAGATGGCTTTGCAAAGTAATTATGCTTTGGCGTTGAAAAGTTATGCTCATAATATGTCATTACAGATTGATGCTAAATTGCTTATGTCATGAATCTTCACTTAATACACTATTCTGAGTGCATGTTTGGCAAATTTATTTAATGAGGAACTATATCGTCACTTCGCGGTCAGTCGAGTTAGATTAGCAGGAAACTACCGATTTCAGGATACCGTCGGCAGAAATCCTAATACCTCATGAATTTTTAAATATTTGAAGTCATTTTAACCTTGTTTTATTGGAGAATTATGGTCTATTGCAGTTAGCAATTGCTCATTTTGTGGCGCAATCACTGCTAGGATTACTAAATTACAACAAGTATTTGACGTGAAAAGTTTCTCCAAAATATTCTTTCTCTGAGAAAAGCAATTATTACGAGGAGAATGCTTAGTGAAGTAGAGGGATACACATCAAAGAAGGTTTTTATCGTATTTAGTGTTTCGTAACCAATGAAAAATATTCATTTTCAAGTGTAAATCAAGTCTGCAGTTAGCTTTCGTAAGCATAAAGTGAATTACCGGTATCGAAGTGAAATGCACAATACTGGTAGATCTATATTGTCTAATCATCTCTCTCACCCATAGAATCAGCGAAGCCAGCGCTTGACAAATTGCGCACTTGCTCCATTATGATTCACGCCGACACGAAAAATCAGGAGAGTCAATGGGTCGTTACATCCTATTGTAGGCAACATTACATTTTGAGGAAAGTTACTATACAGACATTTATATGTATAAAAGTATTTTTATGGTCAATATCAAATTAGTATTTTATTTCTGAAATTTAAACAAAAAGATATTTGATTTAAGTTCAAAATATATAAAGCATAGATATTTTGTTGGATGCGTAATAATTTAATATTCAAGACAAAGAATAGTCGTCTTCCCACTGCAAAACACATTTTCCAATATTGTGAATTTTTGTTTCTTCAACTGGACTAACTTTGCGTTGGCAATATTTCGACGGGGTACTACGGAGGTCTATGGAGAATCGGAAAACTATCAATCGATGGCTTCGATCTTAGTTTATACAATGGAACTCTTCCTTTTTCGCGATTGTTTGTATTCTCGCTATTTATGAACCCATCTGTGGGACAACCATGTGTCACTCTAATAATGTCAACCTTCCTAAAATTAATCTCACTCTTATCTTTCCTCGCTGAATGGTCAGATATTGCAACGTATGGAAATATTACATCCTTCAAATAATACATATGGTTTATTAATTGCCACCTGGTAGATGCGTCGTGATGATGAAAGCTGGATAATTCGTAAACGAGGTGGCATATCTAAATAATGAACGGAAGAAAGATTTATTTCATTGCTATTTTCATGATGTTATATATAGTAAAAGACAACATGTTTTTATATTCAAATTAGCAAATAGTTCATGGCACTTTGAATTTGACTGCAAATTCATTATTTCCATGATTGAATTTATTGTATGAAAACGTTACAATTATAATGAAAATGTATATTTTTATTCTTGTGAAAATAAAATAGGAAAAAATTATTTGATTATTATTCCAGTTACTTACATTGGAAGACCCGGTGCATGCCACAAAATCGCATTGTGAAAGTAGATATATGTCCTTGACTATTCCCTGAAGAGCACTAAGGCCTCTTTGCATAGTGTCAGTTGGGGCTGTGATGAATTTGTATGAAGGATATCTTGTTAATATAGAAGAGAAATTTCATTATATATGTATATCATAACTTCGTTATACGGGACAAACTATTGAGACAGCTAGAGCTAAAAATCCATATCGTCTTTTATTCTTTGCAGCATCAATCAGAGCTGTGGTCGAGAAAGTGTCCATATATATCATGAAATTTCTTACTTCGTTTTCAATTCCTGATGAACTCCATCGTCATCAGTTGCTACATATACAGTCCTTTGTTCTATATTTTGTTCGCCGAACCAATTTTTTATAAAAAACATATATTCTTTTACTTCATGTTTTTTTGCCTTCCATTTTATTTTGTCTCCACGACGAATATGCACTCTGAAAGAAAGGATTGAAATGAGAAATCAGCATGTTAGTAGTTTAACTTTTATGATCAATATCAGTGGAAGTTATTCTAATTAAGAAATTTAATATTGTATACTACATTTCAGTGTTAGAGGATGGGAAATTAGGGTTATTCATGCTGTTAGTTGACTTTACTCGAAATTGAGGCCACAACAAAATAAAGTAATGCTCAAATAAATGGACACGGAGGTCAAATGACTATCTCAACTTTAGTAAACTTCCAACCAAGTGTTCAAGAAATGGTATCAGGTGGTCCTATGTTTCAAATGAGAAAATTGAGAAATGTCTCCCACTTCTTTAATTTACCATAGATACCATGCTCTCTTAAAACAGCACAAATTCATGTTGGTGAAAATTTCTCTTTTTGGAGGCCACAAATCCTAAATCTTCATCCGCTCCTTTCAATGTAACTAAAATACTAGTCTATGCTGGAGAATGTTAAGTTTCGTATTCTATGTGTTGTGGAAATCTACAAATAAAATGAAATCGAGATTTTCTAAAGTATCTTCATTCACGTGGGCGTTGACTCTGAAGGGTGAACGAAAGCAAGACAGAGACGGTCTACGAATTAGATATACGGTGACATCCCATTCATTTACCATCGATCTCTAAGTACTGGCAATTTTGGTATATTAGGTTCGAAGGAAAAAAATTTTACAACAACAAAAACAACAATAATTTAACATAGTTTATCATTCACTTACCCGGCTATGGGATTAGTAAAGTTTATTTTCTGAGCGGTGATGTTCAGTCGATTCACAAAGTCAGGCCTCATTCTTATCGCATATCCAATGAATTGCGCGATCCGCCAGGCAAATGGATCCGCATGATTTCGAATAATATATTGAGATATTTCCTCTGGAATTGATATAAAGTCGTACCCAGTTGGATAAACGGCATTGCCATTCACAATTTGTGAGTTACTCATACCTGAAAACAAATCGAAAATTGAAAATAATTCCAAGGTATAGAGTTCACAAAAAGATATATTTTGTATAGAAAAATTCAACCTAATTCTATGCTGATACAAATTATTCAAGTGTATTGTTGATTTAATGTTAAATTTAATGTTGATTCTTTGCTCAGTCGTCATTCTTTAATTGAACCCCCTATCGCCAAAAAACTCAATCAGACCTCGCACAGCATTTTTTTTTTTTTTTCAACAAGAAATTTATCACATTCACTTATGGATCCTGAAAAGCAAAAATAATTGCGATATTGTGCCAAAACAGCTGTTAAACAAAGAACACATATTACACCACACTGCAAAAGTGTTAAATACCGATGGTTAATCGTGTTGCGCAATCTGTGACGTCAGTTCCGTTTCTTTTTAGCCTTACCTCGTATTATCATAAAACTTATTGATTTAACGTGGTAGTATTTATAAAGGTTGTAATACTTGTATATTGTGTCTCGTCACAATCACTGAGTGGGGCAAAGAGATGACTCCATTCTTCAGGATCATATTTCCATCCTTTCGTATGATAAACCAAAGTTCTTTGTTGTTTAAACGCCGGTAGAAAACATTTGAGTATGCTGTGCAACTCTCTGCCAAATCCAGCTCCATTTACCATATTACATACATAAACTGATGCACTGTTGCAATTGTTTGGATTCTAAACAGAGAAAACATACACACATATGCGGTGTTAATCAAAACAATCTTACGTAGTAAACAAATATTGAACGTATAGGCTTCTGTCAGCATGAAATTTCCCGTTTTATAATTTGGTTTTACAACACCGACAGTGCTAGTGAATATTCCTTTAAAGTACTAATCAAACAATATGCCAGTATGCACAACATAATAAACTGCGAATAATTATGAATTAATATTGATCCTTATGGGAGAGAATCCTGCAAATTGGTACAATACTGGAGCGCGTAACGTGATGGCTGACACACAAGCGTAAAAATTTGGAGCCCTAACAATCTTGAGATAAATATCAACAACGTAATCGAACTAGCCATTGTTGTGTAACTGCCGTGTAAGTCACCTCTGATGTTCAGCAAGGTGTAGTCCAACTCTGAAATCTGTCTTCACAGCTAAGTGTATATTACAACTGACAGCAGTTGACAAACAATATGTTGGATTTTACGTGTCTGTGACTATTCAGGTACAAGGCGTCAAAGAGATCCTAATGACAAGAAAAATTCTGCTATCATGCAGGTTTGCCATTACCATTAACCGCCAGTTTCTCTTACGACGGACTCCGATCGGCGGTTACTAGTCACCACAATGGAAACAAGCACATTGTCCTGCAACCCGGTTAGTGGTTCTTCAGAATAGCAAAGATTTAATACCCGCAATAAATTGTCAGATATAATTACTACAAAACAAATGATTCAGACTCAACCCATTGGTGGAAAACATTCACCAATAGGAATATTCTGACCCTAACAAAAATACTGAAACACATTTACGTCTTAATGATTACTCCCAGTCTGTATGAGTAAACTATATAAACATTTAGCATATATTTGTAGCACTCAAGCATTCAGTTTCGCTGTCTAGGTACATGACACAGGTGTATATCTTGTGAGAGAGAATGGAATTTATGATTGATATCGACTTGTCTTGAAAACAAGATTGCCGATTTAGTTGGGACTGATCTTGTTTATCAAAAACCTAATCGGTCTTGTTTATCAAAAACCTAATCGGAGTCCTGTTTGTTCTCAATGATAGTGCTTCGCAATGATCGTTATTTGACCTCTGATAGATAAGATTTTGCCAGAATAAGATTTTTCTTCAGAGATATTAAGCTGTGAGAAGCAGACAATGGTGAAACAACATCACGATTTTTGAACACGAACTGAAAATATGTATCGTTTTGTTGAATTCTTGTTTCCAAAGATTGTTTTTCCAAATATTTCTTTATTATGGAGACTATTGGGCTAATTTGTACCTAAAGTTAATGAACTAACATTCGCGATGCTCGAATATTTGGATACGAAAAACAATCTGTAACAGTAATCTACCTGTACCATAATTATTTATAGTGT